TATGGAAAATTGACTCAATCTTTTAGAGTTGTAAGTCCATAAACTTACCGCTGTTCACTATGGAAAATTGACCCAATCTTTTAGAGTTGTAAGTCCATAAACCTACCGCTGTTCACTATGGAAAATTGACCTAATCTTTTAGAGTTGTAAGCCCATAAACTTACCGCTGTTCACTATGGAAAATTGACCCAATCTTTTAGAGTTGTAAGTCCATAAACTTACCGCTGACCTACCGGATGACTGTTAATTATCTAGATTATAGTGAATAATGATGTCTAGATTTAATTATACTCTTAAAAATGGAATTATTTCAGGTAAGAATCGACGATAGAACCGGAAAATCACCCAGTTTCTGTTACCCATTTATCAGTGTTTAACGAGTAAAATGCTTCATTAACTAAAATATCTCTTAATTTTAACGTAAATGGTTAATACGTTTCGAAACTGGTAAGGTCCATCCAACGAATATGTCAAGTTGTGCCATCTGCCGGCACCAATTTAATCAATACACCCAACTTGGGAAACTGAAAGCTCAAATACTTTACTCGTATCTTAGGCAGCATCTTTTATTTGCATTACATATATTAAAGTCAGGCGTGGTGTATAGCGGTTAGCGTGTCAGTCGTTAAATCGAAGGGTTCGGCGTTCGAAATGTGATATCACTGAACATGTCTGCACTTTCAACTATAAGCGTATATAAATGATATACCTGTGAGAGTCAACCCCCTAAACCGATTCAAAAAGCCGAACAGAATCTTTTAGTGGGGGTGATGGTGGGGGTACTGCTGGAGGGTTGCTTTCCCTTTGGTTAGTAGTTCAAAATTAGGACAGTTACATCTGAATCCTAGAGTTCTCTGACCTGGCAGTTTAGTCCATGTGCACATAACATAATGTTTAGGGACAATAATGGACCTACTGGTCCATCTAGGCTGTCCCATCCTCTAAACTAAACTAAAACTATTTTAAAAAATGTATCAAAGCTAGTCCTTATCATTCATATAGTTATCAAGCTTTCTCTTAAACTCACTTAAATTTACTAGATCCACAATATCCGAAGGCAACCCATTCCAGAGGCCAACCACCCTATTAAAAACAATAAAACTGCCTTAGGTGAAGATGATTTCTACCCTGCCAAAATTTATATTTGTGTATCTTAATCCTACCATTCTCACCATTAAGTATGGACAAAGGTGGTGCATCAACACTATCAATTCCCTTTATAATTTTAAACACCTCAATCAGATTCCATCTAACTCTTCTTTTTCAAGAGAAAACAATTTCAGAGATCTTAACCTTTCCTCGTATGACAATCCCTCCATCCCAGCCTTCATTTTAGTAACCTTCCTCTGAACCCTTTCCAACAATTCAATATCTTTTTTAAGGTAAGGAGCTCAAGACTAAGCACAATACTCCAAATGTAGCCTAACAAGTGACATGTACTATGAAATTATAACCTCTTTATAACTGTATTCACTATTTCTGTAATTACAACCTAAAATCCTATTTGCCATACCACTAGCAACAGCATACTGCTTAGATGGCTTAATAAACTGATCAACCACTACACCAAGATCCCTTTCTTTCATAACACTATTAGGGTATTCACATCAAAATTATAGTTATAATTCAAATTATGATAAACTACATGCACTGTTCTGCATAAATTATTATTAAAATCCACCTGCCATTTATTCACCCAACTCACTAAGTGATCTAAATCCTTTTGTAAAGCAGCGGCATCATTCTCATAATCAGCAACACCCAAGACCTTAATATAATCAGCAAATTTAAGTAATTTATTGACCATTCCTTCATCTATGTTGTTGATGTAAATCAAAAAGAGTAAAGGTCCTAAAATTGAGCCATCAGGTACCTCACTTGTAACATTAATTTAGTTTAACTGAACTCCGTATATAACAACCATCTGTTTCTCCCACCCAGCCACTATTCTATTCAATTAACTAACTGCCTCAAACCTATAGAGATAATTTTTTTTATGTGGCACCTAATCAAATGTTTTCTGAAAATTCAGATATACTAAATCTACACCCTTAAAAGGTTACATAAGCAGTAACCTTTTAAAAGAATGTCAGAAGATTTGTAAGGCAAGATTTTTCCTTAGTGAAACCATGCTGACTATCCAGTAACATTCTAAATTTTATTAAATGGTTTTGCAAAGTATGTTTTATCAGTCTTTCCAAAACTTTTCCCAATACTGGTGTAAGACTAATAGGCCTGTAATTACTGGGACAGTTTTATCACTTCCCTTGAAAAGAAGAGTAACATTAGCCAACTTCCCATCCTCTGGCACCTGCCCACTATTCAAGGTTTACAAAAAATAAGATGCAGTTCATGTTGAAAATCATAATTCCTTTATGGAATCATATTTAGCTGTACTTCGTTTAACTTAACAGTTGCATTAAGTCTCACGTGTTCTTAATATATATAAATTATATGCTTACTTTTGTCTATACGGAACTTTTCTCGATCAAACGCTAGAAATCTCATATCGCTAGAAAGAATTGTCCGAATTGTTTATTGGCTTTCAATTCAGAATCACCTTACCTGTTTTTTACTGAGTCAAACTTTTAAATGCAACAAGTATGGTACACGATGTCACAATGTCGTAGTCATCACGTGACGACTGGCTTCGATTTCAATTTTAGTTATTTTTATTTGCAAAATACTTCATACAAACAACACTAAACCCACATTTAATTTCCTAAAAATGAACATTACACTAAATACAATTTCTATGGGCTTTCTTGATTTATTTAGGTATAGATACGCATGCGCAGTTCGTTCAAGACCATATGCTTATCACTTTGTGAACAGGCATTCAGATGTTTCTGCATATTCACCTAAGTTTGTCTTAATGACAACTTTACTTTGCAATAATTTAGCTTCGGTTCTTTTCATAAACTGCTCTAAACAACTTTTTTCTTTACTACGGGTTTTATTCTTCGTTTTTGGGAGTATCTTTATTTCGACTCATAAAACGTGTCATGCACTGAATGCTCAAAACTGTTTCGTACTCTGTACACTATTATAAATACCATTAATTACTTTGCGTGTAGTTTTATTAAATACAGTTACGTCTACGTGAGTTTGTTTGTCTGACCACGTGAAACGTTTTTAAATAGACCAGGAATTATCGATATAACACATAATACTTGCAAGAAAGCGAAGCTTAAATGCCGTGCGTGAAAATGATAGAATAAGGAAAATTCAAGCCCAGGGCATGGAAACTACTGCATATGATTAGTAGGTCGCGGCTAATGTTTCTTTATTTTGGTAAAGAAATGATGCAGCGCCACCTATACTCTATGCTTTTAAGTTAAAGCTAGGTTATTCTGATGATGCTTATATTTCACTTCCTAATACATTTTTTGTTTCTCTGTTATAATTCGGCCCCGTAATGTATAGGGTAATTACAAACAGTTATTGGTGGTATGTATTTTTATTGCAACGAAATGGGTCAAATTTCAATAAATTAAAAAGAAACACAAAGTATTTCTCTGTGAATATTTTTGCAAATCTCTACATAATTTTGTTGGAAGAATTTCGATATATCAATTTCGAAAGCATAGTTCACTACGTTCGTAAAAGCCTAAGATTCGTAATTGATTAGATAAAAAAAAAATATTAGGTTTTGAAAACTACTTGTTTTTGTCAATGCAATTATACCGTGAATTAAACGGAAGTACCAGAGAACAGTGGTTCTTATAAAACTTTTAAATAAGAAGAAGTAAAATAATATTTCCTTCCATTTCACACAATAGTAAAAAGAAAAAAAAGAGACCAATATTTTCGCAAGTTGTTCACGAAATATATTATATAAAAGTTGAAAGTATCTCATACAGTATGATATATATAATAAAAGTTTAAGGAGATCGCCACAAACTACATAAATCAAATATTTTCTTGCGTTTAACTTTCCGTGTCATTCCTAAGGGAGAATTTTGTGAGGAAACTTCCCACGGCTCATCTCGTATAGAGAAAACCTACTTCTCGTTGTTTTATCTGGTCCACAATAGTCAGCATGATTGTCTCTAAAAAAACACACACACAACAAAATGAAGATAAAAAAACTACAGAAAAAAAGAACAGCAAAAAATAAGTCACTGAGGGTAGAACGTCGACTTCACAAGGACTGTAAAGATTCTTGTAACATAAGAAGTACCTGGAATGACGTACTAGATATATATATACATTGTATTAATTTGTTCTACGGTGTTCGTCTTTATTTATTTCAACTATTCTCTGTCAACAAGAGAAAGGTTATGGCTTTGAAAAATACTTTTGGGAAACATAAAACACATAAAAAAGTTTATCTGTTATTTCTTTGAAGACTCAAAGTACCAAAATAACAAACGAATAACTGGTGTTGACAATTGCATTTAATTTAATATTTCTTCTATATAAACTCGTTTGGTCCTTGTTTATCAATTTCTCAACAGAGAAAACCTAAATAAGTATTGAATGTGACATTTTCTGTATATGTTTTTACCATCAAACAATAAAACGTACCCATCTTTCACAATCTTAGTAATAGCCAGTTTGTTTTTAGATAAAAGCCCTTAGTGATTCAATAAACTGTTATACTCGTGTTCTTTAATACACAGGCAGAGAGAAATGATAAGCTATCTCCTACCAAAATACTTGAAGCATAGTTTCGAAATGACATTATAAGTGGAAGGTCTGTAGAGCCAAACAACAAGACAGACATGCTACAAGCGGGTTATTTTTACTTACTTATATTTCTGATCGCATAAAAAATGAATATATGATGCAAATCGAATTTGGGAGCCTTTAAAATATAAATTTTAAATATTCAATTGAGCATAACGTTTGTTGTTCTGGTACAAAGCATATTTAGACTAAAAACTCTTTGAAACTTTTTTTTTTAGACAAGCTTTTTGAGCTAGTGTAATGAATTTTGGATTTTTCTCTAACAGATATGGAGCTAATTTTCATAAGCTGCGGTAGGAGAAACCAACTCCAAAATATAAGACATGTTCTTAGAAAAAGAAGAAAAAATTATCAATCTAGATCTTAACATCATCCACCTCAAAACTCAGGCCAAGAACAATCCATATGTACTTCCAATCCAGTAAGTCTTATAATATTATTTATAAGAATATGTGTGTTTTAGAGCAAAACCACAGTGGGTTATCTGCTGTGCCCACTGCGGGGAATCGAACCCGAGATTTTAGCTTTGTAAGTTCTTAGACTTATCGCTGCCTCACCGGGAAATGTAGGAATAAGAGATGACCCCAGTTTTCCTTCGTCAAAAGTCAGTTAACTAACGCGAAACCACAGCCAAGTGAACGGGCTTGGAAAAATAATGTAGTTACCAATTAAAGTAAATGACCCCAGTTTTCCTTCGTCAAAAGTCAGTTAACTAACGCGTAGATTTGTTTTTTGTTTGTTTGCTGTTTTGCACAAAGCTACGTAAATGGGCTATCGGTGCTGTGCTCACTGTGAGTATTGAAATCTGAATTTTTACGTTATAAGTTCTTAGACTTATCACTGAGCCACCAGAGGAGACGAAAATTTGGAATGTTCACTTTTGTTTATCCAAATATTTTGTTCTAAGATGGATCACAATTTTACGAGTAAGAACGTACTATAATAAAATAAGTAATCTATGTTTTACAGGACTTATTTGTTATAGAATTCAAATACTTTTACACAACGCGAAAATAATGTGAGATCTGTAGTAAAATATGCAGAATCCTACATAATATCTAAAAATTACAATAATTTATAGGTATCATTTTACTTAATTTTTAAAACATTTTGCTGGCATATATTCTTGTCTCCATTATAAACTTGAGCTCACTACAGTAAGTCAAATATTAATCAATATTATTAATGCGAAACAACAATTTTTATACAAATCTCATCACGACTCTATGTAAACTTTTCTAACTATTTAGCTTATAAATTTATTAAGAATGTTTTAAAAATTTCTGAAACTAAAAGCAACATATGAAACATAATTTCTCCAAACGATAGCTTTGCACTTGCAGAAGAAGCCTAACATGGCCTGGTGGTTAGGGCACTAGACATGCAGCCTACGGCTCGCGAGTTTGAATTCCGTCACCGAATATGCTTGCCCTTTCAGCCGAGGGGGCGTTATAATGTGGCGGTCAATCCTACTATTCGTTGGTAGAGAGTAGCCCAAGAACTGGTGGTGTTGACTAGCTGCCCTACCCCTGTTTTGTCGTTTCAAAATTAAGGTTTACTAGCGCAGATAGCATTCGAGTAACTTTGCGCGAAATTCCCAAAACAAATAAACATCTCCAGAACACCAGTTCTTGCACCCAACAGACAAGCAAAGACAATTTTTTTATATAAATAATTTTAACATAGTATCATTTAAAATACGCGTTAAAAACGGGGTTTTGATGCTCGTGGTGGGCTCAGCACATACAACCCATTGCGTAGCTTTGTGTTTAACAAAAAACAAAAAAACTTTAAAATACGAAAACATTCATAACAGACTCACGATTGGTTAAGAATACCAAAGAAGTTTCTCGCTTTTAAAATAATATGGTTTAAAGTCGGTTGTAAACAAAACGTGTTCTTTTCATCGGTTATGGGTGTGATATTATATTATGTTATATTATACCTTTACTCACTTCTTTCTTTATTGGTTTTTAGGAAGAAGAGTGTATAATATCATTTCTATTTTACCTTGTCTGTAGCATGCCGTTGCCTTTCGCTCCATATCAGGGCTTAAGAAGCCATCTAGATTACGCTACACAAAGCTTTAATTGAAACGTCAAATCTTATGGTATATAAATGCGGCTTTAACGTAATGGATTCAGCATTGAGCGAAAAGCATCATCATTAATAAAAACACCGTTGTTGAAGTGCTGTTATTCATATTAATTTTACGTTTTGATCAAAGTAAGCTAACTGCATAGATTAGAATTAAAAATCAGCCTGACAATGAGTATAACTAATAAACTATTCTGTTCTTACTTAAAATGCACTGTTTCATCATCTGAATATCCACACTGTTACAGAGACTTTCGGCCTAAATCTCGAAACTCTAATAAGACCAGTAAAGAAATATTATTACAATTATTATTTGTATTAAAAGAGGTCGACTAACAGGTGTGACAAAAAAACCAATTTCTTTTAAAGACAGATAAAAATGTTGACAGCTGTAGGAGAAAGAGTAAATTATGTAGTTACCAATTAAAATAAATTATTCATCGATTAACTTATATAAAACCAGTATACGGAGAAAGATATTAGAACGAAAGAGTAAATTATGTAGTTACCAATTAAAATAAATTATTCATCGGTTAACATACGTTAACTTATATAAAACCAGTATACGGAGAAAGATTTTAGAACGAAAGAGTAAATTATGTAGTTACCAATTAAAATAAATTATTCATCGGTTAACATACGTTAACTTATATAAAACCAGTATACGGAGAAAGATTTTAGAACGAAAGAGTAAATTATGTAGTTACCAATTAAAATAAATTATTCATCGGTTAACTTATATAAAACCAGTATACGGAGATAGATTTTAGAACGAAAGAGTAAATTATGTAGTTACCAATTAAAATAAATTATTCATCGGTTAACATCGTTAACTTATATAAAACCAGTATACGGAGAAAGATTTTAGCATTATTTTTCGTAGCAAATATTTACAGGAAAACCAGCAATATGTCGATATTTAATTGCCGTGCTATTGCTAGTTTGGGCAGCCTCGACACATTTCACTAACGTCGGTAAATCAGCTTTCCCATACACCTTAGAGCAATACTCGTTATACGCGTGGTTTTTAAGAGTAAATATTTGGTTTGCTGAAGCACGTGAAAAAACTGACTTTGATATGTTTAAATCTAGATGGAAATTCTTATCCAAATTCCGTGTTCTGTTAAAAGAAAGTAGATGTTTCTTCGCACGAGCCGAGAGTTTTTTTTTTAATATACCTGAAACAACATGATTAGCACTGGTGATCTGTACATTCAACATTCGTAAGTATTTTCGTCTATGTTAAACAAAAATGTCAAATATTTTAGATACTTATGTTAAGCTGGTTGCTCTAACTTCTAAACAACAAGCACTAAGGATTTTTAAACGTATATTGACAAGCGGTTTTGGTATTTATTTGAAAATCTGTATCACGTGTGGATTTAAATTAAAATTTTTCTGAGCTCGATTTTCCACTCCTATGAAGCACTACGCGAAAAACAAACAAACGAAGAACAAAATTTTTACTCTCACAAACCAATGTAGTATCAGACTCAATTTAATTAATTTCTTACATAATTATTTCATTATTCTTTTTTTTTTTTTGGTCAGTACTGGAGTTAGAACACGTATTATATTCCATTATTTACAGATCGGGATATCAAGTGAATAAATTTCCTTTTTGAGGTAAGACAACAAAACAAATGAGACAAAATGCATATTTTACGTGCTCGCCAAACATGCTCGCCCTTTCAGCCGTGGGGGCGTTATAATATGACGGTCAATCCCACTATTCGTTGGTAAAAGAGTAGCCCAAGAGTTGGCGGTGGGTGGTGATGACTAACTGCCTTCCCTCTAGTCTTACACAGCTAAATTAGGGACGGCTAGCGCAGATAGCCCTCGTGTAGCTTTGCGTGAAATTCCCAACAAACAAACAAACAATATTACTAGAGATATGCACGGTCAAAACTCAGTTGTCGAAAGTATTTGGTATTTTCAACCTGAAGGGCACCTTACGTGACACATAGGCTAAACGGCCAGATTAGTTCGTTAATTTAGATTGTTGACCATACTGACGGCAGTCTAACAGCACACTCTGCCTAATGCACGATATCTTCATCGAATAGTCTTCATCACGTCTTGAACCTTGGCCCTTCAGATCCGAATCTCCTCCCGCTAAACCACGCTCAGCAAAAGTAATCGACTTAGGCACAACCGGCTATTTTTACTGGGCACTACAGGCAGACACAGGGATATCCTACTCACGCTGTAGTCTCCGAATATTTGGTGCCCAAGGTAGCAGCCTATGCTGCCTAACTTTATTGCCTGGAAACATGCTTAAGTGTTATATACAGAAAAAAAATGTATCGTACTTGTTAAGATTTTATAGCTTTATGCAAGGATTCAGAGATAAAAAAAACAAAACAGAAAAAGAACTCAGTTGGAACTTTTTCTACACATACACACTGACAGTATCTTAACAAACTGATTTATTTGTTGTAAATGAGCTATCCGTGCTCTGCCTACTGCGGGCATAGAAATCCAATTTTTGGCGTTATAACTTCTCCGGCGATATTGCCTCATTAGTTTTGATATTACAGATATTGATTATACAACACCTGAGACTACTATACGTCATTGAACGTATCGTTGAGAAAATTTGTGTCGATAAAACTGGGCCTACTCTAAAAAAAAACATCCTAAGCAGACATACGTGTGCTTTATTTTTAATCAGAATTGTTATTAAATACTAACGAAATACTAACTAACATGACGAACGAAAATAATACAAATTTGAACTTGAATTTTCTTTTTAAATAAAGCTTAAGGCAGCGATTAAGGGTCTTCCTAAGAAAAAAAGTATAAAGCGAGTTTCGCGTTAGCTCATGTAAGCAGAGGTCGCTTTAGATCATGTAGACAGAGGATGTCAGGACTGCAGAAATTCCGAATTAGTTGATAGTTAGTTGGTATTTATGAAATAAATAAAAACTAGATTTTTTTTTTGTCGATAGAAACATAATTGCGTTATAAGTTTAGAAACATGAAGATAGATTTTTTTTTATAAGGAATATAATTTAAACGGTTTATTATGCTTATAAGGTTTAAAACAACTTAACCCTTTTAAAATAACCTCTTCTTACCAGAAAGCGCCGAACGAACGCTGACAGACATGCCACGTGGTATGTGAATAATATGTAGTTTATAGTATACTATTCAATTCATTGTTATAAAACATAAACAATTCAACTGTTCGCATACACATTTGATGGCGTCTCACAGTGGGTCAGCCGTAAGTTTAAGCACTTACAACGCTAAAACCAGAGGTTCGATACCCGTGGTGGGCAGAGCACAGATAGCCCATTGTGTAGTTTTTGCAGCAAACAA